ACTAGATGAAGGAGGTACAGAGCACCGCCTCTGCACAGGTAAAGGGAAGCAGCCCAGGAGAGGAGACAGCAACAGGGACAAGGAAAGATCTCCAGGTGCAGCACTGTACTGGCATGGTTCTCCCATGCCCGAGTCTCACCATGAGAAGACAGCTGACCCTGTTGGCTCTCAGTTGCCTTGCTCAGCAGCTCAGTAGAGACTCAGCCTCCCTATTCAATCAGAATAAACCTGAGCTTACCTTTCCGTCTCACCCCACTAGGGGAGAGGGAGCATTCATCCCAGGCCTGAAGATGGGGAAACATACAAGGAATTCTCTCTATTTAGCAGCCCAACTTTCAGTGTTTCTAAGCAACTGAGCATCAGCAGCAGGCATAGGAGAGAAGAGTTATTTCATTTTAGTTTTCCTCTTAAGGCCAATTGCTCTGCTGGAAGCCTGGCAGCAAGCGATCCAATTACAGGAGAAAGTGATCAACCAAATCTTTTCCATTTCCTTCCCACAAAGGACGAGCAGAGAGAGCTACCCAGCTGGGATGATAAGAACAACACAGGAGAGTAAAACATGAGGGGAGGGAGCGGGAGGAAAATGTGCCAGGCAACAGTTCCCTGGAGACGAGACGGTGCCCAGCTGTGGAACTGCTAGAGGGAAGCATGGTTCAGAATCATTAGACCCAACATTCAGGGGTAGAGGGGGTGTTTAAAAACAACATAATTAATAGAAAGACCATGAAATCTAACAACAAATCCCCTGCAACCCAGTGACTATGAACTGCTCCCAGACGTTAGGTATTCAGTGGCCTAACGTGAACCTTTAGCGGGTCTCACACCATCTCCTAGCAGGCAGGCGTCCATGTGATTGCCACAAATTGTATTGATCAGAACTTTGTGGGCAGCCTGCGAAAAAGCATGAGGAATGGAGACACCACATAGAAGCAACAGAGGGAACTAAACATAGTGGGGGTGGGAGGGGCAGAGAAGAGCAAAACAGACTATGCCATGGGCTGTCAAATTCACAAAGCCAACCTGATTTCTCTAACCCCTTTCTGTCACAGGGACTTTCCTCGGGCGGTCACCTGTCACAGCAGAAGGTATAACATTATCAGACAGAAGTCTGATTTAAGGGATGGGTCCCTTCAAAGATTTCCTGGCAGGGTCAGTCCCTGCAGCTGGGTGCTAGAGTATGAGAAACAAACATGCTATCAAGAAATTGAAACAGATCAATTTAGTTCTACTCTCAGATCTGAGCAAAGCGCAAGCAGTGAACAAGCCACACAAATGGTGGCAAGGCTGATCGGGCACGTTCCGTTCTCTCTGCGTTAGACCCACGGGTCAGGAAAACTTTGCTATCCACAAGGGCTCCCTTTAACGTTGCAATAGGGGGCTCCATGGAAAGCCACCGCACGGCTCACAAGTTCCATCTGATTGAAGGTGCATTCTACAGAATTGGATTATTGCATTTAGTGCTATAAAGGTCTTCAGACCAACATTTTTCAAGACAGCCGCACAGTCTGTGATGGGAACCCAGAGAAGGGACTCTCGGATTTGAATGCCCAGTGACGCTGGTTTTCTGATGGGAGGTGCCACCTTCTCTCAATCCCTGCATAGAAATAGGAGAGAGAAGCCATCCAGCAATTAAGAAGCAAGAAAAGAAATGAGGAAAGCCAGGGGGCATATTAAATGGATGCTGAAGTTTGCTCTGAAGTTGAAAAGCAGTAAGAGCCTGGCCCGCAGCCAGCCTCCAACTCCAGATTACAACCAGCTCAGCATTAACCTGCCCAAACAGGACATTGCCACTTGCTGAAATACTTGGGAAGTGCTGGAGGACTCTCGAAAGAGGTGGACACTCATATACTAGCAGCTGTTGCCATGTTTCAGGCCCTTCAGTGGCATCTGTGGGGCCACCATGACAACAAGTTTGCTACTCAGCTCCGGACCTATAAAACCGTGGTTAAACTACCTCTCCTGGTTGTTCAGCAGTGAAACATGGGCACTGAAGAAGGCTGAAGAGTGACAGATTGAGGTTTTTGATTCTCGTCATTTTCATCAGGTATAACAGAGGAATAGAAGGTATATTAAGTAATCAGGACAAGAGCAGTGATGCTGGGTTTAGTTCCAAATATCTTCAACTGCCTCCATCAGCACTAGTTTGGTTTTGGTGGCTTGCTTGGTATGTGCATATTTTTAGGACGGAAGACCAACGAATTCCAAAGCAAGGACTGCTGCTACACAGCTGACAATCATGTGGTCGCCAAAAGCTTCAATGGTACGGTGAGATCGCCAGTGACGGACATCAACTAAATATTCAGCCACACCTCCTAAGGACATCGATAGAGATGTCCCTTTGGGATCTGCCACGATGCTGACGATGACGACTACTCCAAGCGCTGCAGTTATTAATGACATGTTCATGAGGGGGACTAGCCAGCTGGGTCATAGATCAGGATACTGCGGTATAAGCACAGACTATAGCAACATGCCTCCTCCTTAGTGCCGATCCTTCCCTAATCTACCCCTTTCCAGGCTCCTGTCCCTTCCCGACTCCCCGCACCTTCATCCCTACCAGCTTCTTGACTGGTCTTGTAAATGGCCAGTATTTGTTACCACAAAGATACAATCCACTGACGAGACAGACCAGGGACATCATCACTTCCCAAGCGCTGTGAGCCAGTTCCATTTTCAAAGCACTTTGCAAATGCTACAGTGTGTTTAAAAATTCTCCCCTTCCATAAGCCTCCTTCCTGCAGTATGTCAATAGGTAAGATGTACATCAAAGGGAAACAACACAAAAAAATCAACCATCTGACCAAAATTTTCAAAAGTAACTAGAGACTCTGGGTGTCTCAATTCTGGGGTACCACCAGAGACATCTTAAACGGACCTGATTTTCCAAAGGCAGGTGTCTGAGTTTCAGAATGTGCTGGAGAAGAGCCCAGAAGGGTGCACTCCCAACTTCAGGACTTAAATGCTCCATCACTGATCATATCCCTGCTGAAGTCATGCATGATTCTCATGCAGTCAGTCAGTCCCCTACGGGCAGTCACGCCGCTCTATTACAAGTGCCAGACCTGTGGGGATCTGGGGACAGGAGAGGAGAGAGAAGAGGAAAACTAGCCAAGTGGGAAAGGGCAAAAGTCAGTGGAAGATAAATGTCTGCTGTTAAGGGGGAATTACAAGCAGCCCATGGTATAATCAAATCCAACCATTAGCAAGCAGTTGCCAGTATATTTTCAGTCTCAGTGTAATCCTTCCAGTTTCTTCCCCAGAGTATGTGTTTATGCCCATCTGGTCCAGATGTGCAGCGCACAATATGCCAGCACAGCCCCTGTGCTCACTGTTGAACTTGGCTAGCTGGACTGTTTTGGCTTCCAACGCCAACGAGCACAATAGTGATAAAGGTGGGCTTTGCTTTCCACCCAGCCCCACAGCCTCTTGCAGAGCATCACACTGGAGAGTGGCAGGGCTTGGCTGCCAGCTGGATTCAGGAGGCACCAATGCAATTAGAGCCTCTCTGATATTAGAGGTTTATCACCCTCATAATACCCATCATTAAATATATGCACATCGCAGAGCTGCCCTGCCAACCAAGCACCAAATGGTCAAACACTGACATTGATGCTGGCAGATGGCCCAGGTACGGGCTGCACACACACTCTTAGCCATCGCTCGGGCTTCCTGGAAAATGTAGAATTGGAGCTCAGACCACAGAATCCATCCCCTTCCCAAAACAGGTTCCGGCCTCACTTCCCTCCCCACATCCTGTATCAGACACTGATCAGAGCCAAAAGGCAGGTACTGTGCAGAGCAAGGCAGAATTCTGGAACAGAGCAATTTCTGTAGACCAGCAGCTACACACAACTGCACATGCTGCTCAAACCAGAACACACTGGGGCCAAATTCTGCCCTCGGTTACAACCCTCGGGTTCAGTGAGGCAACTGAAGGCAGCATCTGACCCGCTGCTTTTACAAGAACAAGGAAGACACAAAGCTGGGTTAGTTTATGAGGCCTATTTAGTACCATACTATAGCTTGGACGCAGAGATGAGATCTGCCACTATCACGGACTTATCTCTGTTCTGACGTTGCATGACCGACCCCTCTTGCAAATCGTCCTGTGGGCACTGGGCTGTGCAATGAGTGATGTGCACCCATAACAACTTCATAGCGTTTATGGCCAGCGGGGACCTTTAGAACATCTGCTCTGACCTCCTGTATCTCTCAGGCCATTAAAGTTCACCCTCTTACCCCTGCCCTGAGCCCAGTGACTTTAGACTAAAGCATTTTAACCCTCAGGAGACTCAACTGTTGGAACTGGTGGCAGCGGTACCTTCAACAGTCAGATGCCCATGAAACACGAAGCACCAAGAATGCATTGGGAACCCCCCTCTCTAAAGCAGGGGCCTCAAAGAATGGAAAATCCAGCAGAGAGGAACAGAAGACGACATGGGCTGGGCCAGCATACGTCCAGCAGAGGGCAGCAGTGCATCTTCACTCCCAGCCAAGGGCCACATCAAGGGGTGGTATCACCCCACGGCAGAAGTGGGGGAATAACTGACACTGAGGGACGCTTTGAAAGACTTTGCCACCGTGCTCCATGTCTCAGTAACAATGAGAGCTTTCCTTCACCACCCCCATCCATTTGCCTCCACCCTGGCATGGCAGGAGCACATGTTAGGGTGAGGCTTGGGCTGGCATAGTTTTCACGGCTTTCCACCCCTGGGCATCTCTGTTGCACTCCAGTGGAAGGGGGATAAACATGACAGCTGCTTGGGTTTTGTGAACACCCACCACCTAGGAACTGGGTGGAGACCTGCCACAGAAATAGCTGTGGGAGGACAAAAGACACTACCCGACTGAGCGGGATTCAGACAAAGCAAGAGGTGCCATATCACAAGTCGCTTGAGCTGTCCAGCCCTCTCGTTCTCCGGTGCCACCCCTGTGCTGCAAACCTAAGCAGAGAACCCCACATGACCTCCGGGAAGGTAGATCCCAGGGCCTTGACTCACCCACTGATGATCTCCTTGTTCTCAGCTCGGATGAAGTGCTCCTTCTCGGGGGTCAGGATGCACAGGGAGAACTTCTGCCCCGTCCGGCTCTCCCCATCCACAACATCCGTGCACTGGTTCATGTTGATGGTGCCCTGTGGGAGGGTCGTGGGCTGGAACAGAAGGAGGCAGGTTTTAAAAGGAGGAGCCGAACGCCACCTGGTAGCCATCCCACCCCCACCCAGCAGCATAGAACCCGGCACTCTCCACACATCTATTCATTCACAAGCTCAGGAGTCCAGCTGACTGTGCCATCCGTAACTCTGCTCCAGACTTTGCTATCCCACCGCCCTTTGCCCAAGGCAAAGCTTCACTTAAGCCCCTTGGTCTCTGACAGTTCGCAGAGCCCGCCATGTACAGTCCCAGCTCCCATTCTGGACAGGCAGCCCTTCCCCTCCACGACCCACAGGAAGTGCTACCTCCAGCCAGGTAGATTCCGCAACCACCCAGGGCTGGGGGAACCTGCTAGAAGAATCAACTCTCCGCTTTGCCTGGTGTTTACATCAATGCTCACCGCCCCAAAGATCTAAGAGGCATTCAAACAGAGTTCCATGGGTTGTCCCAAATACTGTTCCATTTATTGCTCTGACCTGCCACAGCTCCTACGTCCACCCAATAACTCCACATACCCCCAGGCTCCCACACCCTGCCCTCACTACCAGCCTTCCCAACACCTCTCCCAGTCTGGCTGCCTCCAATCCTCCACCACCATTTGCTTTGGTAGAGGGACAGGCCCCTGTCTCCATGCACGCCTGCCCCCAGGACCAGGGGAAAAGCCAAGCAAAAAAATTGGTAACTTGCTCTCAATGGCAAGAAGAGTTACGAGCCTTGGTATCGAGGTATTCCTGCAAGACTATCATTCGTAAGAGACATCAGGCCCCTGCTCCCCTGGATGCTTCACAGACTGATCACTGTGTAGACACCCATTCACTGGGGGTTACAGAAGACCTTCCCTGCAGCACAGCCTGAGCAGCTGGTAGGACAAACATTACATACCCAGGCACCCCATCAAAAACGGCCTAACAATTCCAACTCCAAACAAACTGCAGGAGGAAACAGCAGCTGCAAGGGCTGACATGCCCCCATGCTACAAAAATAGAAAAGAAATGGCAGGCAAAATAACCATCACACACAAGCGCAGACAGAGCAGAGTCCCAGCTCTGAGCAGATGCTTCTGGTTCTGACTTCCTGCAGCTTGGCCAGCCCGGCTCTGGGATCAGAACCCAGGCAGCTGTCGCTAGCATGATTCCCGGACCAGCCCAGACGGGACCTTGTGGAACATGGTCTGAAGGCTACCCTGTAAAACGGTGCTATTTTAACTGAAGGCCACAACACGCTGAGCATTAACTACTTGAAGTGGGGGCTCGGGATGAGCAGGAACAGGACTAGTCTATGGTCTACACTGTTAGGACCTGTATAGTCAAGAGATCTGGTTCCTGACTTTAACACACAGTGTGGTCTTGCAGTGTACAAACAGCACCACCCCGGTGTTTTAACCTTGTTCCTGAACTGGGAGTCAGCCCTGCTAGAATCCAAGGCCAAGAATCATCAGAAGGAATCAAAGATTTTGGGCGCTCAACTTAAATCCCTTTACGAAGGGGCCTCCTTTTCAGAGGAGCTCAGCACGCTCCTCTCAAGCTAGGCACCCAAAAATTGAGGCGCTGAAAAACACCACTGAAAAATCTTGCCCCAAAGCTTTAACAGGGCTCAAGAACACAGTTAACACACGGGCTACACCACAGGGTAGCCTCGGTCGAACTGCTGGGTGCGGTCATGTGTGAGCAAATCCCTCCACGGGGTAGCTAATACAGTACAGTGCAGAAAGCGCTGTAGCATGGCTGCCAGCAAGCCAAGCTAGGCTCCAGCTTTCCACAATGCCCCCAGCTGATGCTCAAGGCACATGGGATATGACTTCGCTGCATTTAAAAACCCACGCCTGACCCATGCCAGCTGACTCAGGCCCACCGGGGATGGGCTAAGGGGCTGTTTAATTGTAGTGTCAGCACTTGGGCTAGAGAAGTGAAGGGATCTCTCCTCCACCAGGAAGGGCGCTCTCACGTCATGCCCCATCTTTATGGCCATGATTGCGTTCCCGGTCTTGCTCCATTTTGTGTTGTTTTTCTTACACAGACACAAGGGCTAACGTCACGCTGCTCCGGACCTGACCCTTGTCCGGGGAGGGGGAGGAGGAATCTGCTTTTTCATCTGGCTGGGCGGGCAGCCAGCCAAGCCTAAGCACACACTCTGTAGGATTTTCCCATTAAAGTTAATGAAACATCGAGTTTGCCGGCATCTGCGCCTGCTGGCCTCGAGGCCCCACATTAATCTGCCACGGCTGTCTAAGCAGGTGCCCGAGTCGCTCTTACACGTGTGGGGAGAAGCAGGGGGATGGAAGGAATTCAGTTCCCTACTATCTGAGAGACACTGAAGATACAGTCGTCACCTGGGAAGATTATCAAAGAGACAGCGGCCTGTGCTAGGGGGTGGGGAGAGAGGGGAATTTCCACTGCCCTGGGCTCTCCAACACCTGCAAGGCCATGGCACAGGAAGGCCAGGCAGATGCAGGAGCATGCAGGCGCTGTGAAACACGCAGGCCTTCTCCTCAGGCCGCAGAGAAACCCAACCTGTGGAAATGATTTCTACAAGGGGTGGGAGAGAGTGCGACTCAGTCACCAGAGTGGGAGGCTGGGAGTTCAGGAGACCAAGAATCTACATTCACTTCTGCCACTGACATACTGTGCGGCCGTGGGCGGCCACTTGGCCTCAGTTTCCCCAACTGTGAAACAGGAATAATGCATTTCAATCTTTGGGAAGTGCTTTGAGAGCCAGGGACAATAAAGGTGCTAGCAGTGCCCAGCGATGACTCAGGCTCCGTCTACACTATGAGCTGGGGGTGTGATTCCCAGCACATATTCGTGCTACCCCTCCTCAAGCTAGTGAGAGAACAAACAGCTGCGTAGTCATGGTCGTATGAGTGGCAGCAGCGCAGGGATGGCTTACCTGCATCAAGGACATACCCACCGGTTTCAAGCAGGTTTGTACTCGGTGCAGCTAAGCCATGGTTCCATTGCCCGTGCTATCGCAGCTACACTAGATCATAGTGCGGACGTAGCCTACGGGACAGGTGGTGTATATCGGAATTCCTCTCCCGACTTCAGCAGAAAAACACTGAGAATCTGGCCCTGTTACATCACAGCTGGCGTCTTCTTTGTTCAAGGGCTGCAGGGCACAGGAGAAGTGCCACTCTGTTCCCCTCTTTCGATTCCCGGAGCATATTCTCCCCCACTGATCCAGGAGAGGAGGAGTCCACAGCAGCAGCAGCCGCCACGTCCAGGGCCAGAGGCCAGGGAAAAGGTCGGTAGCGTCAGCACCCCTTTGCTACGCTCCCCAGAGACGGAGACGGCAGGATCCTGCATGTCCTTGTGGGCAGGGGAGGATTTTATGCATGCACTTTTGTAATAGTCTTTGGGATGGACTCTGATCCAGCGATGGGAGTGGAGTCAATTCATCCTCAATCCACAGAGAAAGGGTTGGGTTTGAACCAGGCTCTAGACATAAAATGTGCGCTACATGGAGGGCACTGCAATCCACAGCGAGGCGCATGGTTGCCCCATGACACCCCTTGCTGCAGGACAGTCCAAGCCTCGGGGTACACTTGCCACCAGCATGTAGAGTGCAGACATCGCACACCCAGCCAGACTGGGTAGAAACAGCAGTGGACTTGACTTGGATGAGCAAAGCGGCCTACATGCCCAAACCCCCAGGGTAGAGAGCCGTGCAGGGTATGTACATGTCCGAGCTCTGCCTCCCACGTTCACACTGCTATTTCAGCAGCGTAGCATCCCACTGACAGAGCCTTTTCCTGCTGCAGTGAAAGGCTCTGGCAGCAGGGAGAGGCTCCTGCAGCTCCCCTCCTGCCAGAAACCTTCCCTGCTGCTAGAGCCTTTCACTGCTGCATGCAGCCACACATATATAGTGCCTGAACTCTGCACGCCGCCACAAGTATAAACGTAACTTAAGGTTCCAGCTCTGCCTTCTCCCTTTCACGCAGGCTGCAAAGGCCTAGTGCCTCCCCCTCTAATCGGCAAACGCTGGCCTCAAAACAAGGGCACAAGGAAGCGGGCAACTGACCCTTTAATAGGCAGTACCCAGCCTAAGGCCCTGGGGTTACTTGCAAAAGCCAGAGAGGATCCAAGCCAGGAAGGGGAAAGCAAAAGACCGTGGAAGGGGATCAGACAAGGGGGAGAGGAAAAGAAGAAGCAGAGAGAAAGTGAGACAGGGAGTGGGAGAGGTGTGTCGGCTGCGCTCATTGAAGCTGACAGGTCCATCTGGAGCAGTCATTCCTTCTCATCCGATTACAGTGTCACCTCCAGCACGGGCCCCCCGTCTCTCCCACTCCTTCACTCCCATCACCGCCTCCAGCTGCTTCAACTGGCAGCAGCCCTCTCACACAGAGCCCTTTGAAACCCCACTTCCTCTAGGACCCACAGCAGCAGAGGCTGGAGGCCTAATATTCTCAGGTCAGCTAACCTGAGTTAGCTGCTCATGAAAAGCCTGCCTTGGCCCACAGAGTCCTCCCCCGGCCAGACACTGGGACCACCGGCACACTGCAACAAGGAGTGTTCCCAAAATGGCTCTACAATGGACTGATCTCAGCACCAGCCTCCATTTGGGCCGGCCTTCAACCCCTTCCTTGCTCCCCGTATCCCTCTCCCTAGCACTGCTTAAACCCTTGCTGTGAAAATAGCAAGGTGAGCGGAACAGAGGCCTACATGTTTCAAATACTGTGGAGACGAAGAGAAAGAGGGCACAGAGAAAGCATCCAAACCAGCTTCTCTGACACTTCCTCCTGCAGATGGTGAGGCTGGCAAGGAGAATTATTTTTGGCAACCATTGTAGTGTGCTTTGCCATGGAAACGAACACAGTTACCACTGAAGCATCTTCAAGAGCTGCCTATGCAGTTAAAAAAATAATAAGTGAGGAAGCATGGACTAGTGCTTAGCGCAAGGGGTTGGGAATCAGGATTCCTGGGAATCTGGTCCCAACTCTGCCACAGACTAACTGTGACCTTGGGCAAGTTACTTAACCCCACTGTCCTAAGTTTATCCAGAT